ATGGTCGTTCCATTGCAGCAGCTGCCGCCTCCTCCTCGCTTCCTAATGACGTGGGGCAGGCTTTGTCTGGAGCAAATGCCGAGCCAGTACACTTGTAACTGAGCTTAGAGCTTAGAGCTGGAGATTAGAGCTTAGATCTTGGATCTTAGAGCTTGGAGCTTGGAGCTTGGAGCTTGGAGCTTGGAGCTGCGGGTCGCTCGTCGCAGGTCCAGCTGCTGCTGCTTCGGGATGGAAAATTCGCGACCAAATATTGGGCCTATCAAATATTGACCCACGTCATCGAACCACATACCGGTAGAGTGAGCAAACTCAAACTCAACTCAACGTAGCAAGCGGCACCCACAAGGATTCTCGCGTGATCGTTCAATTCGAGTTGTACAAGGGCTTGTGCGTTGTCACTCGTGCCGACTAGTTTTTTTAGAATGTCAATCCATGCATTTCAAACGCAAAAGACACTCCAAGTGAGAATAGCATGCGAAACTCAAAATCTACTTTAAGTACAAACTAAACTACGACCAGCGCCATCCGTTTAACGGACAAGGCGCTCAAGGACGCGCTTCTTCTCCTCCAACTCGCGGAGCGTGGCATCCTCGTGGTCCTCGAGCCACTCGCGGGCCTCACGGATCGTGTTCTCGGCGGCGGCATCGCCCTTCTCGCGGGTGAGCTCGAGCGCGCGGTAGATGAAGCCCTCAAGCGAGTTGCGGGCCTCGATCTTCTTGAGCGCCTCGGCATCCTCCTTCTTGAACTTCTCGGCCTCTTCGACCATGCGGTCAATATCAGCCTGGCTCAGGCGGCCGTGGTTGTTCGAGATCGTAGTCTCGGCCTTGGCGTTCGTCTTCTTGTCGCGGGCCGACACGTTGAGGATACCGTTGGCATCAATCTCGAACGTGACCTCGACCTGGGGCTCGCCGCGCTTGGCGCGCTCAATGCCCGAGATCGTGAACTCGCCGAGCTTGTTGTTGTGGTCCACGCAGGCACGCTCGCCTTCGTAGATGACAACGTTCACCTGCGTCTGGTAGTCCGACTCCGTGGTGTAGACGCGCGTCTTCTTGACCGGGATGGCCGTGTTGCGCTTGATGAGCACCGACATGACGCGGCCGACCGTCTCAATACCGAGCGAGAGCGGCGTCACATCGACGAGGAGGAGCGAGTTCGTGGCGTCGTTGCGGATGCCCGAGAGGATGGCACCCTGGACGGCGGCACCGTACGCGACGGCCTCATCCGGGTTGATCGACTTCGAGAGCTCCTTGCCGCCGAAGACAGCCGAGAGCATGTTCTGCACCTTGGGGATACGCGTGGAACCGCCGACGAGGACGAGCTCCGTGATCTCGTTGGGCTTCATGTTGGCATCCGAGAGGACCTTGAGGACGGTCTCCTCCGTGCG